ATATGTACTTTTGTAATTAAAAATAAAATTAATTATATGAAAACTAATATAAAAATAATATAATAAAAAATATTAAAAACCGAAAAATAATTAATAATAATACAAATTATATAAGTTAATGATATAATAAAACTTATACTACTAAATGAAAAAAAGAAAAAGATAATTTCTTTATTGTTTTTCTTTTTTGCATCTTTAGTTTTGTTAATTTATCAAAATAATACTAGCTTATATATAAATAATATATATTAATATAAGTAAAACTAATTTAGTGCATGATATAATTAAAAATAAAAAAACATAATAACGAAGTTTTTGGGCTTTGATTTGACCCATAAATATGCAGAATACATTAAATTATAATAAGAGAAAAATATTCATATTTTTGTATTGATTATATTGCTTCTTAATTATTTTTATCTAAGATCAGCAAAGTAGATCTATCTTCTCTCTCTATAATTATGTGAATATGGATCTATTAAAAGCTCTCTCTCTATATATAATCGAAAGTCCTTTTAATATAATATTTCAAAATAAAAAAAATATGAATTGAACTACTAGTTGATACTCTGAAAAAGATAAAGCATTAATATATCATCATCCAAGCCTCATCCCAATTATTCAGGGTCAGCAACATGAATCCCATACTGCCATTCCACTCTATCAAGGGCTATACCCTTAGTAAGACCATAAATAACCATCTCTTTTCTCACTACTTTAATCCATGCCATTTGAAGCCTTCTACTTCAAACCAAATTACCCCTCCTAACTAGTATTGTTCTAGGTTGATGCTGCAAGTGATCAGAGCATGTAAATCTACTTTCCCTCATTTTTATCACCTATGGGAGCTACCCCTAAGTTCCCCGAAAGTATGCAATCCAAATTCTATCATTCTTTTTCTTATCACTCATCCATCTCAACATCCTCATCTCAACTACACTTATTTTATGAATATGTTGTTTCTTGAACCGTCCCATGAAGCATGTCTGCTCTTACAGCCGTCATATAGAACTTTCTCTTTATTTAAATTAGTATGCGATGAGCACACAAGACTCTAGAAGTAGATCTCCACTTCGTCCACACAGCTCTAATTCTATGAGCAATATCTTCCTTAATCGCTCCTTTCTCATAGATTATCGATCCCAAGATATCAAAAATAATCTCTTTTACATACTTTTCGACCATCAATCTTAACTAATTACTCATTTCTAGTCCTATTATTATTAAACTTGCATTCCATATATTTTGTCTTTGACCAGCTAATTATAAAACCTTTAGATTCTAAAGCACCCTTCCAAAGTTATAACTTTGAGTTCATGCCGTTTGAAGCATTAACATATGACATACTTAAAACATTTGCTTGTGATAAAATAGGATTTGACATAACTGCAAAATAACTACATAAAAAAAATTCAAGGTTAGTTTTGATTTTTAGCAGAGTGAACAAATTCTGAATCCACTGGCCTTAGTGAATCCACTATATCAACACAGGCATTTTTGAAGTGTTTATCTGAGAATTGGCTCAAGCTATAGAAGTCCTAGTTTTAGCAATTCTTATGGAACTTAAAAAGATAGTGAGAAGGAATGACTGAGGACAATTACTTTCATCATTCAGAACTCTGCATAATTCGATAAGTTGGTGTGAATCATGAATATTTTGAAATCAATATTAAACAATCATAAGAGTTTCAGATGTGATCATTGGACCATAGCATATTTTCTTCATAAATTATTTTGCTTTGCAGTCACCTTTTGTTATGCATCTTCAATGGGTGATGAAGTCCCTTAACTCAAGGTTCACGCCCAGCATATAGTGGATACTTTACCTAATCGATTACTACACCCTATTTAGTTGGAGCAATACAAGAAATTAAGCACGGAGGAATGAACTTTGATAATGATCTGTCATTTACATAAATGCCAAATGTATGATCCAAAAGCATAAGCATTAAGAGAAAAAAACACCAGAAACTCTATAGTATGATGATACACAAACAGTAATTCAAACTATACTGATTCAATACACAGCTAGATTTCATTTCCCCAAAGTTATAGGATTCACAATTATTCTCTAACGCAATTAGATTATCACGAGACCTTAATGCTCAGTGAAATTATCAAACTTGAGCAGACTTCATCCTGGAATTTGAAAGCCACATCATATAAGCTTCAACAAAAGATTTTAACCGACCTCACAGGAGTGCGGTTTCTATAGAGCTGAGGCTCTAAACAATCACATTAGAGCCCACCTTCACATAGCGTAAAGAAATATGGTTTCAATATTGGAAAGTTTTGTGATAGCTTTAAATTATATTTTCATCTTTAGTAGTAAAATTTAAAGCTTCAAAAATAGTGATCGAGCAAATCAATGAAAACTTGAAAATCTTAAAAATTGACGGTCCAAAAATACGTTACAAGATGCCTATTTCCAAAAGTTGAAATCCATTTTTTTCTCATGTCCATGCATCTTGATGTTGAGAGGATCAATTTGATGATATTTGAAAGTTAAAAGCCTAGGCTCCATATAAACTTTTCCCTTATTTACAATAATACCAATATCTTTAAACTCAACTCGGGCCTCAAACTCGTCCCTGGCCCGAGCAGAGTAACTCAGCCAAATCCGAGTGGACTCAGCCGACTCAAGTACAAGACCAAATTTTGTAAAAAGTGTGCTAAAAACAATTAAAAATCAGAAAAAAGTAAAATAAGTAATAGAAATTATTAAAATTCTATAAAAGTCCAAAAGAGTATGTAAACAAAGGATTACTAAAAAATTTGATTTATAGCTTGAAATATTTCAGAAAAATAAAAAATTGGAGCATCACAAAAAAACCATCTAAATCATATAAAAATGTATTTATATTGAAGATTTCTGAACAAAATTATGGTTTTTAAAAGGTTTTAATGAGGAGCAAGTTGGTCCTCGGAACTTGCCTCACCCAAGTCCTTGTACATTGATTAATATATCCAAGGGACGACCAAAAAAAATAAATAAAGCACCAATTTCCGTGAATAAAATTCAATTCATGAGAGTGAAATCACACGTATTTTGATTGATGCACTAAAAAAAAAGGCATGCTAAATACATACACCCATGAATCAAATCCAAATTGTAATCCAAATTCATAATGCTTCATGAAAGCACGATCAGAGACAATGCCAACAAGCACAAACGTTTGATATCAGGGGAAAATAAATAAATTTTCAAGAATTTTGTAGAATTACCAAGGTAAAAGTGGTAAAATTTTCTACATATATTAGAATTCAGATACACATTGTTCAAAGGGTTTCAATAAGAGGCTATACTGGATTCAAGTACAAAAAATTCAACATAACAAAGAGAAATTCTAAATGGATGAAATTATGAAATCACTAAAGAAATTAAAACGACAGAGAAGAACAGGAATTGCAGAGAAAATAAGAGAGAAGGAAGAATGGGAACAGAACCTGGTAAGTGTTGTCGAACTTGTCATACATAAATCGGGTGATAATGCTGGTTTTCCCAACCGATTGATCCCCCAAGAAAACCAGTTTGTATTTCGCTAGAGGAGAAACAGTAACCATGACTGATTCTTTCACCCTCTCGCTCTCTATCTTTCAATTCTGTGCAATCTCTGTACAAATCAAATGAATGGGTGGTCAGGAATCCAGAGAGAGAGAGAACGGATTCTTAGAGAGAGAGATTTCCGTTTCAGTACACTGCAATAAGAGAGGATCGATGCAGTAGAGAGAGAGGACGCGCTGAACTTGAAACGGTCAACACCTTCAAACTGAAGTTTCTGACTGGTAATTTGATACGAGCAAAGAGTACTCCAGCGGCATCATACTGTGCAGCGCTAAGACCTATTTACGATTTTTTTTGCTTGTTATCTAGAATTTTGGGGACAGTTTGTACAAAGAAAAAAGTTTATACAAGGTTGCAAATTTATATTATAAAAGTAAGGTCCACCTCAAAAATATAGTAGAAAAGACTCTTCCAAAGTTAGAAGACCTTCCTATTGATCATTTGGACCTCGAGATATATAATATAAATAACAAAAAAAAATTGAAGTCCTAAAATAGGGCATCTATGATAACTTATCCGGACCTTCTATTTTTAAGATTGTCAAATGATTATAGATCTATTCTATTTGTACTATTTTTTTCGTGATTATAATTGAACATGGATTTTCAAGCTATTGTTCAGTTTCTGACACGAGAACTACATCTTCCGACAAAATTTAAAGGTGTTGCCTTACTTGTATAGTATAAGATGTGCACCTTATACAAACATCATTCATAAATTAAAATACGGCCAAAACTTTTTAGAAAAAAATATAAGCCTCACGTCAAAACTTGCAAAATTTTATAGTCCTACCATTTGAAATCCTACAAATCAATCATCTTGGCCTAGACCATTATGGTTTTTAAGCTCTAAAATAATATATATTGTAACACATTATCTAGATTATCCATTTTCAAGTGTTCACAAACCCACAAGATCTGTACCATTTTTTTAATTATAAATTTTATAATCGTTACTTAAAATAGATTTTAGAGCCATCTTAAGGATTTCCAATGCCTAAAGTATTTTCAGAACAAGATTTCACGTTGCAAATTTACTTTTTTTATTATAAGGTCAAAGCCTTATAGTAATTGCATCCATATTTTTGACGAATTTGTTTTGGATTTTTTGAAGGAAAGGTTTACATAAGTTATCAACTTTATATTGGAAAAGTAAGGTACGTCTGTCAAATCCAACGAAAAAAGTCGTTTTGATACTAAGAAACCCTCCAGGTGATGAACCTAGAGATGTAATGACATAGATAAATAATAATAATAATAATTTGAAATCTTAAAAATGGTACATCTTGTAACACATTATCTAAACTGTCCATTTTCAAGGATTTCATGTTTATGGATCTGCACTATTTTCTAAGTTTTTGGTTTTATAATTAGATATGAAATATAATTTTAGGCCATCATTAAAATTTTCAACACCAAAATTGGAACTTTGGACAAGGTATGGAAGTGCACAATTTATGGTTGACACCTCAAAATTATATCTCTCGTTAAAGTTGAGGCCCTAAACAATCAAAGTAAGGCACACCTTCAAATAGTATTAAAAGATGTCATTTCAATACTAAAAATCTTTATGATGGATTAAAATTTTATTTTCGTTCCTAATTATAAAATTTCTAGCTACAAAAATAGTGCATATCAAGTAGATCTATGTATACTTGAAAATTGACTGTCTAAATAACGCATTACAAGATGCAATATTTTAAAAACTTGAAGTCCTTTTGGTTTTTTTTTTTTGTTTTTTTTTCTTATGTACATATATATCTCAATGTCAAGATGATCGGATCTAAGAGCTTTTCAGCATCAAAACAACTTCTTCTACTGATTTTTTGAGGTAAGCCTTACTTTGATTGCTTAGGGCATCAGCCTTAAATAAACATTTTCAGAACGAGACGGTTTTTTTCCGGCAGATATTGAGTGAAGATGCTGAAAGTTTGGATGTTAACACAATTACAATGTGAGTCCGTAGGAGCATAAAACCTCTCGGTTTTTCCTTTGACCTCATCAATGCCACAAGACCACCTTAGCAGGGCAAGGAAATTGTGATTAAGCCTTACCAAGCTTTTTTTTCATTTTATTATCTTTTTTCTTTTTCTATATTTTGAATCTCAAAAAAGAAAGAAAAAAAATCCAGTTTTGACCTTTAGTATTGTGGTAAATTAAATATGACGGGGCCAAATGAAATCTTAAATTATAGCACTAAAGCCTTCTAGAAAGAATTTCAAACGACCATGTATCATTTTTGCTCCTTCATTGAATCAGAGCCAAGACTATAGTATAAACAATTAAAGTAAAGTACACCTTTAAATAGTGTCAAGAAATGTGGTTTCAAATTAAATAGTATCAAGAAATGTAGTTTCAATACTGGAAATTGATAGCATTAAAATATATTTTTATCTTTAATTATAAAATTTAAAGCTTCAAAAATAGTGTAGATCGAGCTGATTTATGAAAACTTGAAAATTGATGGTCCAAAATTGTGTTACAAGATCCACTATTTCCAAACTTTAAATTCATTTTTTTTCTCATGCCCATGCATCTTGATATCAAGATGATCAATTTGAGGATATTTGGACATCAAAATAACCTCTTCTAGTGAAATTTTTGAGGTGGGCTCTAATTTGATTGTTTAGAGCCTCGGCTCTATATAAACTTTTTCCTTAGATATGGGCTCCATCTTTACAAATAGTTAATGGTTGCAGTTTGTATAGAGCCAAGGCTCTAAATAATCAAAGTAAAGCGCACCTTCAAATAATGTCGAGAAATGTGGTTTTAATACTAAAAATCTTTGTGATAGCTTTAAAATATATTTTCATCACTAATTATAAAATTTAAAATTTCGAGTAGATCTATGAAAACTTGATAATCTTAAACTTGAAATTTATGTTTTTTCACATGTCCATGCATCTTAGGGTTTAGATGATCAATTTTAAGATATTTGAGCATCAAAATAACCTCTTCTAGTGAAATTTTTGATGTGCACTCTAATTTAATGGTTTAGAGCCTCACACTTATATAAACGTTTTCTTTAGTTAATAATGCTCCCACTTCCAAATCAAGCATGCTCGGAAGACATGACACTATCTCTTGTAAAACACTTGTGCAAACTCCACAGTCCAACGTGTTCACCCTAATCAAGTGCATTACCTCACACTTATTAAATTGATTGCATAAGATCTCCTTTAAGATTTTCTTTACGTTTATACCTAGTGTCACTTATGTATAAAATATAGAGAAAATATATCGTTATTCTCTATTTTTTACTTCTATATCTCATAAGACTCAAGGATTAAAAATATTACTTGTAAGCAAAATGTCTCCATTTTTTCTATCTTACAACCCCTTGGACCTCTTTGACCATGAATTTTTAACCCAAATAAACACTAAAATAACACCCTCTCCAAAAAAAAAATTTCTTTTCCATTAACATTTTCTCTCTCTCAACTCTATCTCTCTCTCTAGAACCCAAAGTTGCATAGAAGTTCTTCTCTCTCCTCTCTCTCTCTCAAAATTCCTCTTCTACAAAGAAAGTTATGTCAAACCGGTACGATCAGTCTTATAGTTTGAAATGTCTTTGCAAGGAGAGTCGATGTAGAGAGGGGAGATAATTTAGAGAGAGAGGATGTAGAGAAGGGGACTTCTCTGTAATTTTGGATTTTAGAGAGAGATGGTGATTTGAGAGAGAACGCCAACGAAAAAAAAAAAATTTGAAGAGGGTGTCATTTTAATGTTTCTTTTGGTCAAAAATTCATGGTCAAAGGGATCCAGGGGGTTGTCAAATAAAAAAGATGGAGGCATTTTGCTTACAAGTAATATTTTCAATCTTTGGTCTCATGAGATATAGAAGTCAAAAATAAAGGATAAGGAGATATTTTCCCAAATATATGAACTCTTATTCTTAGCTATCTAGCTATCTCACCTAAGTGGACGGTTGTCATAGCTTCAATCATATTATTCTATTTAATACAATTTTATTTTTAAAAATTTTATAAATTATTTTCAAAGTAAATTTGAGAAATCCCCCTTCTCACATGGATCCAATTAATAAAAATGAGGAAATATATTTTTAATAATAAAAGACCAAAATGCCCCTATAATTTATATGGTCATTTTCACTATTATTATTGTCAGAGATATTTTTTTCTCATTTTTATTAGATGTGCCAAAGTGGAGATGTGGGATGCCCAAAATGTCATCTCATAATGGTTTGTACAATAACATGTTAAATTCGTGTATTTTGAGTCGTTCGATCAAGAGAAGATGACCAAAGGCTAACCTGTAACATCATCATTGAAGTTATCTTAGTCGTCCATTCAAACCGAATAGCCGAGAATTGCTGTCATATAACTTTTATATATAGAAAAAGTTTATATAAGGTTGCAACCTTAAAATGTAGAATTACATATGCACCTCAAAAATCCATGGAAAAGGTTGTCTTAATGTTGAAAAAACCTCTAATTGATCATCTCGACATCGAGATGTATAAATATGAAAAAAAAAAAGATTTTGAATCCCAGAAATAGTGCATCTTGCAATACATTATCTAGACCGTCTATTTTCGAGATTGTCATATGTTTATAGATCTACTTGATTTTAACCATTTTTTAGGTTTAAAATTTTATAATTAGATATAAAAATAGATTTTGAGATACTCGTAAGAATTTGTTTCACCGAAATTACATATTATGATGAAACTTGGAAGTACGCATTAATTGGATTGTTTAAGGTTGCAACCTCATAAAAACCACACCTTTTATATATGGGTGGAGCTACAAAGAAAGGTTTCTCAACTTTTAATTAATATCAACAACTCACAAAGGGTAGGGCCCAAATCCCCAGTGACTAACCTTTTAATAATTATACAAATCCAAAAAAAAAAAAAGAGACTAAGAGACTGACGCCCTTCTCCTCCTCTCTTGCTGGGAGCATACAGGGTTTTCCTGCGTCTCATTTATTTGATCTAAGTACATTTTTCCTTGAAACAAAGCAGAGTTCTTCAATTTTCTCCACCCGAAACCCCACACCGACAAGTTCTTGTGTTTGTTGAGCCTCGTGCACTCATGCTGCAGCTCCGAGTAATCATGTTGAAGCTCCGATAGCTTCGCCTTCATTCTCTCAATCTCTGCCTTGATGGCCTTCACCTCCCTCTTGGTTGATGAGCAATTACACTTGCCAACCTCCTTATCAACAGGAACAGGGCTCCCTTGTGTTTCACCACAACCATGGCCCTTGTCCTTTCCATGATAGGCAACCCTGAACTTGGCTTGCTCAGCATATAGCACCTACATGTTCTCATTTCACAAGTAGCCAAATAAGTGCAATTTAAGTGAGACCATACTCAGCCTGTTTGAGCAAGGTTTAAGGAAAATATACTATTAATCGCATGATCATGGCAAAGCTATGGTTATAACTGTGAACACCATCCACTCGATCGATGTGCAGTGATGGAGAGAAAGAGTGAGGCCCCGTAAGTCACGCTCTTGTTGCTCCGGCTCTCTCTCCGTCACAGTCCATCAGTTAATTCGACAGTGATTAACTTTTCTTCGATCACATGATTATGGCATACTCTCAAATTAGAGACTTGGTCTGGAGCAAGGGATGTTAGAAATCAGCATTTAACCAAAGTATGGAGAAAAAAGAAGTAAAGAAGGAAATTTGAAAGACACAAAACAATGGAAAAAGAAAAGAGAGATTTTAACAAGTATATTGAGGGCACGTTCAGCCACTCTACTTAAATATTTCATTGCTTGTGATTCTGCCTCCTAAAACATGGGTAGCAATACTGATTTCATATTTGATTTGACTGCAGATAGTAGATTTTGGAGGTTCAGATCCTATCTTACCTAATTTAAAAAAATGGCTTCAAACCTAATTTAAAAAAATGGCTTCAAATAAAATTATAGGGCTTGTGGTTTGTCACAAAGTTTGACATTTTTTTTTTTTTTCGAGCTTTGAATCTAGTTAATACATTTTTACAACCACCCGATTTAAAGTCTGGTGCACAAAAGTAATTGTGACCTCCTTGTATTAAAAATAAATTATCTCTTAGTATAATTTTTATAATATTATGGTTATTTTTTATCAAAAAAAAGTTTGAGGAAAATATTTCAAACTTTGAGTGTGGTTAATGGTATGCCTTTAACCATTAGATCTCATATCTAATTAATAGGGGTGAGTAAAATTTTGTCGGACTTTGAGGGTGGTCAATGGTGTGCCTCCAACTAACCAATTTCATATTCATCGATTAGGAGTGATTGTGATCTTTTTGTACCAAATGTTTTAACTATCCAACATTTTACGTAAAATGGAAAATTTGCATATCCAAACCAAGTATACATCTTCCCTATAATTGTAATTTCATCGTTGTAGATCTCATATATTCATATCATTGGCTGTAGCACTCAACTTCAACATGTAGTCTTTTAAGACTAAAGAAACTAAATTGACCAACCCTCCATGGGTAGTGAACATCCATTGTCAGGAAACATTTTAAAGGGCAAATTATTGTGAAGTCATGTAGGTAGTCAAAAATTTGCATTATTAAAAGGGCATAGGGACTTATCAAACTTTTCCAAAATGACAGTTAACGCCCACCAAGTGTGTAGATATGATTGGTTTCATACAGTTGTTTTTCGTAAGCAGTCAAGGGACCATATTGATACTTACTATTCCATAGTTTTCGGACTCCCACTAAAACAGGCAGTTGGGGACATGTTTGTTCTCAAAGTCCAAAATATTTTTCTTGAATTTTGTGAAAAAATTGATACCTCTAACCAATCAATTTCACATCTTACTGCTAGGAGTGGTTGTGAACTTGTAGTAAATTGCACTCTTAAGTTCTATTTGTGAGAAAACATGACTCACTTCCATCAACCCAATTTCATATTGGATGGCTAGGGGTGATTTTAAATAATATGGAAACTCTTGGCAAACAAAACTTTACATGTAACCCCACCCAAATATGAAGTATGTGTGACCCTTCCAGTCATCCGATCTAAATGGATGGCGAGAATTACTTTAATCACTATCATGTCGAATATTATTTGATTTTTAATTATTTATAAATCATTTTTAAGTGAATCTTGGGGTGTACCTAGCAAAAATTTTAAAAAGAATATTTCTGAAAAAGAAATGACCAAAGTGTCCACCAAATTTCCAAGGGTATTTTGGTTATTTTTATGTAAAAAAATATCTTTTGTTATATTTCATGTGAGTCTGAGAGAAATGTGTGCATGCCACAAATTTCACATAAAAATATTTATAAAAAATAAAAATAAAATACTCTTAGCCACTGGATCGGGATCTAGCACTCAGGACTTGTAACAATGTGACTGAAGTCATCTCAATAGTCTATTCAGATTGGACACCTTAGGACATGGGTCATATATACTTTATATGTTTATATGTGAGTGCTGCCACATATAAAAATTTTCTTAATAAAATTAGGGCAAAAGGCAAAAAAAATATAAAATATAAAATTGCCTTGGTAAAATCATAAAAGTGCCCCAACATTCTCACCAACGTTTTCTTTGTCTAGTTTCTCTGTGGTATTGTGAATGAGCAAGACATGGGAATTGTGGCTCATGATTTGGTGATTAGGCTGGGCAAGAGCAACAACACCAGCCTCCAAGGTTCAAGTCGTGTCTAAGGACCACCCAACTCAAATGTATATTGTGCCATTGGACTATTGAGAAGTTGCTTATTTCTCACCATATATGTATCATGTTGTAGTAAATGTAATAAAATTTGAAGAGTACCTGCACCACTGTTCTAAGGGGTAGACGCTCGTTCTGGGCAGCATGCATGCAGGCATCTGGTGAGAGCCTTTGACAATCCATCAACTTACACAATCGACGCCTCTCGTGCTCCGATAACGAGGGATGCGACTGCCGTTGTAATTTCTCATGTGAGAGAAAATTTGACAAGAAGCAATTGAGAATATGAATAATCATCATCATCCGAGCCTTATCCCTTATTTAGGCAAATTAGAGTATAATTATTTGGAAAAAATGAAACTTTGTTCGCATACAACTCATGTTTTATGCATAGAAAAGAAAGAAAAGTTCAATTTCTTTAAAATATGAATCTCAAGGAATTGCCCATAACCTAAATGACAATTTGTTAGTAAACTGTGTGAGAATTATATGATTTTCGTCCAATATCCAAAATATTCATATGGTTCCTTGAAGTTACCTTTAGATATGTATCAATGGCTCTATAGAGACCATCATCACATAATCTTGCTGTTGCAGGTAAAACCTCAGCTAAGGTTTGAAACTTTGCAACTGATAGATCATGGTCCCCTGCAACCTCTGCCAAGTACCCATCTATTAGCCTTCCAACTGCCCCCTTCCCAACATGGTCTCCCTCCACTTGCATTAGATAGTACTCCGCAATCCTGTGCACTATGTCGACATCGTAGCCACCTCCATCACCATCGTTATAACTTGGTATGAGTAGATCTTTGATTTCGGCCTCTTCAAGCGCATAACCGACCCTTTTCTCTAAGTCAGTTACTAAGGCTGGAGCAACCGAAAATATCATTGAAAGCCTTAACAGACTTGACAGAAATGCACATGAGACACAGCCTCTTTCTTGTGGCAGTAAGCCCACTAAGGATTCTATGATGGCCTTCTCTTCCTTTTTCTCCCAGTTTATCTCCTTGTCGGCACCACTTTGGATCCTAAGTTGGAGCTCACTCCCTGAGGTTTCGGTGATTGGGAGCCAAAACTTCGCATAATGTGTGATGCATTGACCGATGATTTTGGGGTCCATGAGCTTCGACTTGATCGATGTGAGAATTCGGGAGAAGTGATCGATTCTAAGGCGCACAACATCATCAAACCACCACAATGCAGTGCTAGGCTCACTACTAAGCCCAACAAGTGTGAGCCCATTTATTGGCCCAACACTGTTATAACTAGATGTTGTAGGCTCCACAATAGAAAGACCAATCGTGGGGCACATGATTGTGGGTCCCACTTTAGCAAGCCAAGAAGATGGTTCATTTAGGGTAAGCCTGGCAGTGGTAGTGTGCTCAAGTCCATCATGCCCAATTGGGGGACCATCACAAACCCTTTTGGAGATGGAGTCACAGCATCTCCGAACAATCTGAGAGGTTTCGGCCCAAGGGAAGAGGGACTCGCAGGCTTTAAGCACTGTGAGGGAAGCAGCCCAAGATGGGAAGACAGCCAAAGCTAGGAAAGATTCGGAACGAGTAATGAGGTTGTGGTCCTCCAGAGCACTAGTCATCTCCAGGATCTCTGCAGCGCAACGGATTGCTGGAGCATTCTCAGGGTTGAGATCAATAGGGAAGCCATAGCAGAAGCGGGCAATGAGGACAAATGCCTCTGGGCCACCGGGAAACGTCTCAAAGACGACGTCTGGACCATCGTCGGTCTGGTTTGCGCCCTTGAAGTTGAATCGATTAAAGTAACCGCATCTCGAGAGCAGAGGGTACTGCAAGAAAAGGGGGGGGGGAAGATAAAATTGAAGTTTGGATTGCTAGATTCACACTAGGCCAGACATTGCTGTCATAACTTGGAATTTGGTGGAGATTCATCAAAATTTGAACAATAGTCCATTTATGCAGCACAAGATATTGGGGGAAGTTAAAAAAATCAATGTATAAAGTCTAGATATTTTGAAAATTTATGAACTTTGATTCTACCCTTTCCCTTCACATTAACAAGGTTAAGTCAAATTCCAAAAAGAGCACCCATGGCCATGCATCTAAGCTTTAAGATGTAAATTTTGAAAATTTATAGCATTCAATTGTGTGTGTACTAATTTAATACATACATGGGTACTTTTTGTAGGAGATCAGGCATGGCCTAGTATATGTTGGGCATGTTTGGAACTTTGGATATAGTTATTATCATTAACTGCCATTGTTTTAATAAAATTAACCGTGATAATGACCTTTTTGTTGTTTAGAGTAAACTTATAAGCAGTTTTATACATGAGTTTATCTATTTGAAAATTTATTTTTACTTTATTTAGAGTATTTTGCTTCAGTCTCATGTTTTTAGCAAGAAATAGCTAGAACTTGCTAGAAATTTTCAAAAAATTTATTAGTTTTGAAATTTTTGGCTAGGGTATCAAAAATACTTAATACAAGGTACACATCGACCAGCTAACGAATAATATTATGTAGAGTATATCGATCTTAGATAAGATAGTTTACTCATGATAAAATTAATTGTCGCCCAAACAAGCCCGTAATCTATTTGCATGATATATGTAATTTTCACCTCCTATGTTCAATGGCAGGTGGTGAAATTAACTGTCCTGCTTTATAGAGCAATGTGGGTAACATGGAAGTCCCTCAAGTGGAGCATACTATTCTATCCATCGTATCTTGTCCTTACTAAAAGAAAGAAGAATCAAGTTCAATTCCTACAGCTGAAATGCACTAAAAACATAAAAGAAAGAGTGTATAGTCATATAAGAAAATGGTTCATGAGTATGAGTACCTTGTGGAGGAGAAAGGTCACATCTTCAACCTTTATGGTTAGATCAGTTGGGATATGTGAGTTGACAAACCTGAAATTATTATTAGAATTCAGAGAGAGAGAGAGAGATGGCTCAAATTCATTTCTAGAAAACATATACCCTTTGTGAGAGATTGTGATAGTCAATCGCAGGCGGACACGCGCTCGTGATATCATGTCTCAGTTTCATTGATAAAATAATTTTAAACAAATGAAAATAACCAAATTTAATGTCAGAAAAAAATAGCGGCTTGGGAAAATAATAGAATACTTTGGTGCCATTTTTGCCTCATTTTCCTTCTTTTCTGTTCTGTAACCATGTTTGTTTCTTTCTCTGGGTTGATTTCCCTGTTATAACATTGTTATCATTGTAAAAACAAAATGATGTGGTTTATATAAGATGCCCTCCTTATAAGGAAGAAGTAAGGCACACTTCTAAATTTTGCCTAGAGATGTAGTTCTAGTTACGAAGATCTATGACGGTTGGGAATACTATTTTTGTCCCTAGTTATAAAATTTAAAATTTAAAAAATAGTACAGATCGAGCATTAACACTTGAAAACCTTAATAATAGAAGGTCTAGACTCACAAAATGCACCATTTATAGGACTTGAATTTTTTTTTTCCTTCATTTAAATAGAGTCTCGAGGACAAGATGATTAACTCGAGGGTTCTCCAATATCAAAACACTATTTTCTTGAGGATTGTTGAGGTGTACTTTACTTCAATAGTATAAGGTTTTGAAACCTAATATAAACTTTTTTCGAAACAAAAAATGAGGAGCCCCAATCTATTCCTTTATACCAGACTTAGGAACCTTGTCTACACATGTAGGAAGGAGAAACGGAAAAAAGTAGACTATGATTAATGTTTTCATTTTAAGTTTATTGAATGAAAGTGTTGTCCAATTTTTAGGAATTCTTTTGAACGAATACAATAAATCAAGTTACTAGAATAATTTCTAGTTTAAGTAACAATGAGAAAGCAGGCCATGAAATGTAGCAAAGGAAAAGGGTCCGGTTTAGGCACAAAGCCAGAGTCACACAGGATATTATAATCCCACCTGAATTTTGTTTTTTTTTTTTGGGAAGTGTACACAAAAAATGCTTTTTTGTTTTCAAATTTTAAAAAATAGTTCTATATATCTTATTTTTTATACTCAAATCCCAATTTTTAAGAGTACAAAGGGTATTTTAATTTTATCTCTTTTTTTTATGCATCAGATTAAGCTCAAATTTGTTATGTTCGTACTTTTCATCATCACAAATGTATAAAAAATAATATAGACATAATAAATAACCAAAATGCATGTACATTATACAGGGATGTGGTAATTTGATTTATTTAAAATTTATTTTTTACTATTTTTATAGTTGTGCAATCATTAGAAGTATGAAGATGTCAAATTTGAGATTAATAAGGTGTAATTTGGCCTTGCCACATACTGAGTTAGTCCGAGTTATGTGTCCTACTCAAGGTACATAAAAAAAAATTGAAAAACATCTAAAAATATTGTGAATTAATACATGTATGTTGGTGTATATTTTTTTGTATATGATTTGGATGTTTATGGCATACATTATTTGAGTGCATTTTTTGGTTTTTTTTTTTTATATAAGTGTCCCCAACTATCAATAATTTTTTTTTAAATCCATTTTCTATACTTTTTTAAGCATATTTGGGCTTTTTAATATTGATCTTGATTTTACTCTTGCCATAATACTTTTATTTTATTTTTTACAATTTGTGATTTTTTTTTTTTTTTAAGGCTTTTTGGCACTATACAAAACTCTTCCAAATCCACTCAAGCTCTGCCAAGTAACTTGCCTCGGCCAAAGCGCTTTCGTCACTACTCTCTAACCATTCGATCTGAGAATGGATCGGTGGAGTTTATCATTCCTCCAATTAAATATGAAAAGCTGCTCGCAACCGCCCCATTTTAAACATCAAACACTTGAGGTACTGGCCTAGGTCTAAGCCCCTTTGTTTTGCCTTGTTTTCAATGAAAAATTTTTATTTTTTAACACAAAAATACATATGAAGACTTGGGAGACAGCTCGGGTAGTCTAATTTGCATCAATATGATGGATTTTACCCACCAGTCTAATTTTTAAAACTTTACTTTCATTAATATTTTTTAAAAAAATATTTTTATTTAGCTATTTAAGAGTACGTTCATTAATGCTTACCTTCCGGGTACTACAGCACTCAACATAGGACAAAGGCAATGACGATGTTCTCAAACTCGAAATAAAGACCAATACTACACTATAAGGCACTAAAACTCTAATTTGTCAAAAAAAAAAAAAAAAAGCTAAAAGTCTAAAAACAATAAAAAATGGAATTTGGAAAAAATTTATTTATATCTGAAAATAATTTAAAAAATATAGAAAAGGAAAATATAAAAATAGAACAAATGATAAAAAAAAAATCATAAATAATTGTCAAAATTAAATAAGAACGTGCTTATATATTGATTTATTTAAAAAGCAATTTCAAGAATTTAGTTTTATTTTTTAATTTACTGGCTCACATTACTCTACAGATTTCGAGTCAACTCACCGAGTCCCTAAACACCGGCTACGAACTTGGCATTCTGATCTGAACTGAGCTCAACAAAAAAAGATGAATCGAAGAAAATGAAGGTTCCTGAAACTGAAAAATATGCAAATATTGGCCTCATAAAGATGTTTAAAAAAAACAAAAATTTGGCCTCATAAAATAATCAAACCAAATTATGTCCCATTTCCCAATGCATGTAGCATGAGGTTAAAGAATACGTCTTGAGCTCAGTACACCTGGGTTCAGCTGTCAGCATCCAACCCGGTTCACCAACCAAAACAAAATCTTTGCAGCGAAGCAACAAAAAATTATCAAATTACAATAGGAAACACAAGTTGCTTCCACCCTCTCTCTCTCTCTCTCTGAGAACAGTTCAAAATTAACAGTTCTTTCTATCTCTGTGAACAGTTTTAAAATGAATCTCTCTCCCTCTCTATCTCTCTGTCTATTTCTCTCTCTCTGTGCTGAGCTGAAATTAAGTGAATGCTTGATATAAACTCTCCTACCATGAATTTCCCTCGCGTTCGAAGCTTTCGGCCACAACCATCCGCTTCGAACTCGATACGACCGCTCTGAGATCCGCGCCATCGCCTGAACCGCACACTGAATCCTGGGAACCCATGCTCGAAAACACGCTCTTCTTCATCTCTCTCTTCCTCTCTATCTATCTCAATTTGGTTGGAATATGTGTAAAAATGGAGTCAAAACTCAGAAGTGGGCACATGCAACCATCCCTCTCTTCTCTCTCTCATGTTGACAGGAAAGTAAATGCGTGAAAGATATGTTTGTGGCTAGGAATGTGCAGTGAGGGCCTGTGCCTTAAAAAGGAAAATAGTTTCATGCTGGTTGGAACGCATTTCTACAATATGCGGTCCCTAAGTATGAAGCATCCATCTTAAAAAGGGTCTATCTAAAACAAAGTTAGTTTCGATGCAAATAGGTTGTTCATCTAAAATAAAGTGAAACTAATCGTTTAAATATTTTTTTAATCTAATTTTTTTTATTTTTTAATTTATTTATTTTTTTCATATTCATGATCTTCATATTAAAAATTATATATTCTCTAAAAATTACTATCAAATTATATTTTAATAATATATTTATTTCCATGTGTAATATAGGGGCTGGCCGCATAGAAACCGTGTCCGCACTTAAAACGGAAAATTGCAAGTGTGCCATTCGATCAGTACCTTAACGGATTTCTACTCGTTCCATTAAAAGAGTCTAAAACACTTCCCATTTTGAAAAGGGTGCGGTTGGTATAGCTCTAAACAATCCAATTAGAGCCTACCTTCAAATATGCCGAAAAATATAGTTTCAATAGTGGAAATCTTTGGATAGCTTTAAAATATATTATCATCTTTATTTATAAATTTTAAAGCTTTTAAAACAGTATATATCGGCAGATCTATAAAAACTTGAAATTATTGAAAATTGATGGTCAAAAATGTGTTACAAAATACACTATTTTCAAACTTGAAATCCATTTTTTCTCATGTCCATGCATATTGATGTTGAGATGACCAAGTTGAAGATATTTGGGCATCAAACCAACCGCTTCTAGTGAAATTTTTGACGTAGGCTCTAATTTGATTGTTTAGAACCTCAGCTCTATATAAACTTTACCCTTTTGAAAAACGCAATAAAATCATCATTGTAACTTCAAAGAATTTACCCTAATAAAATGCTTAAAAGTTGAATGGGACGAAACTCTCCTCACACAATTTTCAATTTTTTGCATAAATAGATTGAAAATGTAGAGAGAGAAAGAGGCTTAAGATCATTTCCTTCAAATGTGAACCTCTATTGATTGTTCAAACGTACAGTGCGTATAACCCACATCAAAGAAGGTGGCAATCCTTCCCAAAATTAGTTGAAAAAATCAAGGAGAGTGGGGCTATGAAACTAGGTTGTATAGGCTTATATAAATAATTGAAAACGATCTTCCTATTTTTCTTGGCTGACAAGAAGTGCAAACTCGAGACAATATTTGCTCTCTACTAATTAAAATTAATGTGTATAAGATTGGAGTGGGTAAATTTTTTCTTCAGATGGTTGAAAACATAAAGATGAAATGATATCTCGCCTATTTACTATAGCGAAATCTCAATGAAGTGGAATTGTAGGAGTTTTAAAGAGAGAAAGTAAGCAGGAGAGAAAATGGGTATAAAAGCTAAAAAGTTGGTTGAGAAAGATAAATTCGAAAATATATTTTGTAGGATTGTACACTAAGGCCATTTATTTGGATCAAGGAGGTCTCAGTCACCTTTAGCGCCTCTTAAACTTGATGGCCTAGATTGCGTCAGACAATTTGTGAAATTTTCTCTAAACTTTGAGATTGGTCATTAAAAATACCTCTAGCCCCTCAATTTTGAATGTAACAGCAATGAGTGACTTTGATCTTCTTGTACCAAAAATAAATCGTCTTATTATATGTTTTTTTTATACTTTATAAATTGAGTTCGAAGTTCATTTGTATGGTTAGTCCATGGTGACACATTATGCATGCACATAGATATGCTTCGTGCGCTTTGGTCCTCCACATGAGTAGCATACTATCTCCTTGGTTCTATGAACGTATAAGAAGAGAAATCTATTATTTTCTCTTCTATATTCTTTAATATGATATTAAAACCCCCCATTTCACTTAGATCTCACTTTCAAAAAATTGTATGGTCTTCGTTCAATCTCAATATATTATTTTATTAAGGGCACAGAGAGTGCAATTAGAAAAACTTTAGGTTGAGGTTGATCTATGGATTGAAGAGGTTGCCTTCCCAAAATTTAAGATCTTAAAATTACTCCTAGATTGGGTTGTACTCGAGGGAGCAAATGGATAACACTCTTAATGCAACCTTTGGCAAAGAAGAGCAAGAATAAAAATCTTCATGATGGCTTTAAAATCAATTTTTAATACTAAAACTCAAATTTGAAATTCAAAAAATGTTATAGATTTTGCGGATCATTGAACACTTATTTTTAGGGTGAAACATAGCACCTAGATAATTTGTTTTAATATAAACTATTTTTAGAACTTGAAATATTTTTTTTTTACAATCATAATGTTCAAGTCGAGATGGTCGACATAAAAGTTTTTTGATGCTTGAATTGCAATATTCGATGAGTTATGAGACCCATCAAACCATTTTCCTTTTCCTATTAGTTGGGTTGTGTTCACGCCTCCCATGCATAAAGAAAACACATGCGGTGCCGAAAGAGACGGAGTAAAGCTTATTAGGGAGGGAAGCCAGAAAGAATGTTTGAAAAGTTGAACCTTTTTGTCGCATGAGAAGTCCACCTCGTGACACGTATGTATGTGATGGACCACTAAATCTCTGTGGTCTTGCAACCCTTTGCCTCTCCCAATCTCATATCCCGCACGTACATCTATTATTAACCTCGACTCTTAATATTCCCATAGCCACAAACATAACTCTCTTGTCTCCCCACGTGCATTTATTTCAACCTTGCTCCACTCTCCATTCCCATAGCCACAAAAATAAAACTCTATCTCTCTCTCATGAACCTAGCTCCACTCTCTCTCATACCCCTTTGTAATCTGTTAATATTGGTGGCAATGAGCCAGGTGGCCCAGCCTGGTCCGGGCAGCCCAGCACTAAAAACTTAAGGCCACAAATTATGGTTCAAGGGCTAGGCAACCAAGGCCCCATAGCTAGCCCAGGGCCATGACAGGGCTGGCTCGGTTCGGCCATGCTAGCATTTTTTTGGGTAGACGTGTGGGGAATATAGGCCTCTATCCATTTTAGAAATAATTAGTAGTTTTCAAATGGAATCCTAGATCGGTAGTTGAAGCACAAGTAATGTTACCACCACGGCTCAACCCCATTCCCAAATAACTTAGTTGGCTTTCTTTTCTCTCGTTTTTTTTAAAAAAAAATAAAAACTTTTCTCGCCTCTTAGGGCTAGGGCTTCTTTGGCCCAATGAAGGCTAGGGCAGACCTCAGCTAGGGCTTTTTGGCCAGTCAGGGCTTGGGCCGCCGCTATGAGGAGTAGAGCTAAGGCAAGTCAATCCTAGGCAATCGACATGATTAAATGACTAAAACCCAACTTTCTTTGGCATCCATCTCTCTCACCTTGGCATCCATTTTTTTTAGTAAAAAGTCTCTACTAACATTCTATTCCACTAAATTTTTATCATGCTTAATAATGGAGCCACTAAATTTGTTCTATATAACTTCTTTCAAGAACTAAAAATCCTAAGTTAATAAATTTAAACATCAATTCAAATTTCCCATCTTTTGTTATTATATTTCTCTTAAAGACACTTTTGCCACACTCTTCACTCTTTTCATGTTGAGTTTTGCTTTTCCATTCTTGTTGGGTGTCAGCACATAGAATCACCACGCCTTTGATTCTAGTATCTGGTCTCCTTCTACCACGAAGTCAACAATATGGGAAAATAGTTATATCAAAGGTTTAAAGAAATTTCGATCCGAATAGGACCTACCTGATTAGTTTAGATCAGTTAAATTAATTTCTTTAAATGGGCGTTTAGAGAGAGAAATTAAATACAAAACTGGTAGAGAGATAAAACATTTACAAATAGAAATAGAAAAAATTATCAGTTCAATAAATTAATTTTTAAAATAAAAGAAAAAAAGACAAGATCCCTTGTCTTTACAAATGCAAGTCGCATTGGACATTAAAACAATACAAAAAAAGAGTTAGAGATATCGATTTTATTACCAATGATTACATTATATATTTCGTTTTGATTATAAAATTAATTTAATAGACAACGAATACTCAGACACGAGATTGATTCTTAGTATTTACATATTTTCAACAAAATAATGAAAAGCCGCAATGAAATTACCACTATTTTTGTAGAAACCTAAAAACATAGATTTTTAAGAAATTATCCTATTTTTAAAAAACTTTAAGGTTGGATCCAGTCGATTCACCGATCCGAACTGCCGATTATCTCAACCGGACTTATTACACTCCACACCAAGTCACCATCATCCGATGGTACGAGATCAACAGTCTAGCTTCAATCTCGAACCGAGAAAGAAAATTTTGGCCAAGCTACACCAATGGAACATGAACCCCTTTGATTACAAACTCAAACCCTAGGTGAATTCTCTTAGCAACCTAGTTTGATAGAGATGGATTCTCTTTTTGCTAAACCTTCAAACCCTTAACTATAAATCCATATTTGAGAGATAGGAGAGAAGAACTCCATAACCTAAACCCTTAGGTTCTTTCACAATGTGGGAGAGAGATCAAACATGAGAGTGGTGCGTACCCCTTTTTTTAGGATATGAGAGATAAAGATGGGAATTAGGTACAAGAGATAAAGTGTAGAGATTTTTTTGGTAGAGACAATCCATTTTTATAGGCTTTGAGTAAGATTAGAGTTTCTTAAGGTTTTCATTAGCTTGCTTCTTCTTGTGAGATTGAATATAGACTGTCGATCAAGGGTAACTTGTAGGGTGAGAGATCTGAGTCATTCATTCCATAAATGGGCCATCAGCATTATGGAAGGTGCATGAACCATTATCCCCCTTTCCTAAACTATTTTTTCATTAATATATTTAAATAAAATAAATATCATGCATTCTATAAAATTGCACGATCCATATCACATATTCCATAAGGATATGTCAAATAATATCAAGTAGATAAATACTACCAAATAAAAATAAGATAAGATCCATATCAATTCAAATTGACCATATCTATGTAAAACAAACTTGCTACAAAATAGATAAAGCCATGGTCAATATATCGCTTCCAAGATTTGACCACATGCCGC